CTGTTTTAATTCTGTCAAGTTCACGGATCAATTTCTTTATAATACTGATTAAGAAAAACGTTGTAATTATTCTTATAGATTTTATTTCCTCAGGTATTTTCAATCTCATCCAAGATCATCTTCAGGGTTGAAATGAATTGCTCAGTTAAAGAATTAATGTAAATTACGAATATGTGTGAGCATGAACACTGTAAAATTCGAAAAAATTACCGCTACAATTTATGTAAATTCTTATTAAAATTGTAATTAAGTCTTTCAAAATATTGTTTTAATTATAGTTTTTAACAATTACAATTTATATACAGTAGCGGCCATAATATAAGGAACGGAAACAACAAAGACATAAATATGTGTATTATTTAAAAAGTAATGCATGATTAGCAATGAAATTTTTACTGAATAAAGATTAGGGTGTAATGCGTAAATATTATACAAAGTTACAAAAATTTACATAATGTGTTTTTTTTTAAATAAAGATTAAATGGAACAAAGGAAATAAGCTACTGGACAAAAGTTAAGGAACGATGTTAATAATTTGCATAAACTTTTAAATTACATTGTTAAAAAAAACTCGATGGAGCTTTTCAACAATAAGTAAAAGTTCATTTATCATTAGGACTTTATTTTTAAGCAATATGGCAAATTCTACATGCAAAATGCTCTCTTTTGAAGAAAAAAACTCATTATCGCTATCAAGAAAAAAAGTCAATTTCAGAAATTTCTGATATTGTTCATAGGTCTAAAAGTGTCGTTCATCGTATAATCAGCAGGTATAAAACCGATAAAACGTTAGATGCAAAACCAAAAACCGGCAGACCTCCAAAAACATCGCAAAGAGAAGATTGAAGAATTGTTAGAATATCTACAAAAAACCGTTTTGAAACTGCTACATCAATTGCCCGTAAATTTAATGAAGAGACAGATAATAAAATCTCAAGGAAAACGGTTGCTCGCAGGTTAAAAAATGCAGGATTGCATGCCCATATTCCAGCTTCGAAGCCTCTCATTTCAAAGCGAAACGAAAGGGCACGCCTGGAGTATGCGAGAGAACATGTTGTTTGGACTGACGCATAATGGGATAAAGTTAATTTCAGTGACGAGTCCAAGTTTACTATATTTGGTTCTGAGGGCAAAACTTACGCACGCCGTAGAACAGGTGAAAGACTGTCTTCTCAATGTGTCAAGAAAACCGTTAAGTTTGGTGGCGGCAGTGTGATGGTGTGGGGAATGATTTAATCTGCAGGAGTTGGCCCTATCATCCGCGTACATGGCAATATCAATGCTGAGATTTATAAAAAGGCTTCTTCAGCAGCATATGGTACCAAGATTACACCATAATCTTTATGAATCTCCTATTTTCATGCAGGACAATGCACCTTGCCACAAGGCTCAGAAGGTTATAGCTTTATTTAAAGGAGAAAGAATCGCCCTAATGAAGTTGCCAGCCCAGAGACCCGACCTGAATCCAATAGAAAATATTTGGAAGATAATTGGAGAAAGGGCTCAGAAAAGAAACCCGAAAAACCAGGATCACATACGGGAGTTATTGAAAGACGAATGGGAGGGAATTACTGCTGATTTTTGTAAGAAATTAATTAGATCATGTGGTCGACGATGCAGAAAAGTCATCGAAAATAAGGGGATGTTTACCAAATATTAAATTTTGTTGGTATTTTGTTCACAATCAAGTATTAACAAGATCGTTCCTTAACTTTTGTCCAGTAGCTTATTTCCTTTGTTCCATTTAATCTTTATTTAAAAAAATACTATTGTGTAAATTTTTGTAACTTTGTATAATATTTACGCATTACACCCTAATCTTTATTCGGTAAAATTTTCATTGCTAATCATGCATTACTTTTTAAATAATACACATATTTATGTCTTTGTTGTTTCCGTTCCTTATATTATGGCCGCTACTATATATATATATATATATATATATATATATATATATATATATATATAATTGCGGCTCCTACCGCTATTAAGCATTACTCTCTCTCTCTCTCTATATATATATATATATATATATATATATATATATATATATTGGCAGCATATCTTCATTCGATCATGTCTTGTTGAATAATCTAGATATATTTCATCTGTTTATTTTAACGTTAATCCTCTCAAGTTTACTTGATTAATTTTTTAGGGTTGGTGCAAAACTGATTAAGAAAGACACCGTAACTGTTCTTATACTTTTTATTTTCCCAGACCTTTCGATCTCATCCAAGATCATCTTCAGAGGTCAAAGAAGTAATGTAATTGACAGTTATGAATGTGGTGCGTGTGCATGAACGCGTTGGATTAATTCAAAAATTTACCGCTATGTAAGGGAGGTAACTTAATTTATATTGTAAAATTCTGTATTAAAAATTGTAATTTTGTATTTTGAAACATTCTCTTACAATTGTAGCTTTTTTTAACAATTACGATTTAGATATTCTAAAACTTTGATATAAACATTTTATAACTTTGTTACTATACTCAGAATTAATTTTATTTATTTTTGGCCCTAATTTTTTTATATAAAGGGATTTCAGTATTTGAATTTTTTGCTTCTTTTTATTTTCGTGGTGGAATATATGGAATATTGTCGATTAATATTTCTCTAAATCGAGAATGTGAACAGGAATGTTCCTTAAATTGTTCTGCGATCAAAATAGAATCCGACATTTGAAGTGTAATTCTCTTGAATAAGGTCATTGTCGTAAAGCCAACATATATATTTACTTTCTTGTCAGAGATACAATCTCCCAAAGGACATTTAAATTGATATACAAAGTTGGTCTTTTGCAAAACACTAGTTAACGGAAAGAGTTATTGTGGATGATTAAGTTGATTGTATTAAATGTAGTATAGTATATAATTAGTTTTGTTTTTTTTGGGGGGGGTGGATATATTAGTACTTATGAGATATTTTAGGATTTTATTCATTTTTTTTAGTTAGAATATTTTTGATTGTGGTATATATATATATATATATATATATATAATCTTAAAAGACCACGGTGGAAGGCAATTGATTACAATTAACAAGCAATATGCACACAAAATTAGATCTTAAAAGATAACCGTGTAAAAAAATTTAACAACAAACACCTTAAAAATTCCTACAGAAGTGACCGTAAGCGTTTGAGACAATAGACATCACGGACAATTTTTTTTTATCCTCACCACCCCTTACTCCCACCAAAATGAAAAATCGAAGAATCCTAGAAAAACTTAATAAAAAATTCATCAAATCTTCCTTATCGGTCATATTCAACAAAGCATGTGTAAAAAGCAAGGTTGCTGGCCAAATATATATATATTGTTTACACGTCATTTTTATAGATACAAATATTTAAATAAATGCTCTGTTTATAATAAAATGTATTACTTACAGCCCAAATGTCCGAGAAATTTCATAGAAGATATGTGTCCTCCGACAGGAATCGAACCTGTATCTTACATCGAACTCGTCCTATAGCTTAACATGCTGCCCCATTTAGCTATAGAATCCATAGGACGGTTCCGTGTAGGATACAGATTTGATTACTGTCGGGGGTCAGATATATTCTCTGAAAATGTCTCGGACATTCAGGCCGGTAAATGGACTTAATGCTGTTTATTAGAAACAGAGCATGTACATAAATATTTTTATCTATAAAAATAGCGTGTAAACAGAAAATACATTAAAATAATTGTCGGGCTTTGTCCATTTCAAAGTTTATTTATGACGCGTTTCTTCCTCCAGGACTTCATCGGATTAAATTTGTTATGTTGGTTGGACTACACATGCGCACGAACGACGGGTTCTGGGATTTTTACAATTATTTTATATATCGAACTGAATTCATTGTCGGACTTAGTCCATTTCATTATATACATACATACATACATACATACATATATACATATATATATATATATATATATATATATATATATATATATATATATATGGTGTACCCAAAAAAGTACTGACTTTTTGACTTCGTCGTCAATTTGAGTATTTATAAACATGTATTTAACTTAATTCAATATTTAATTTAAATTGTTAATCTTCTTTTTAAGTCAAAATGCAATAATATTTCTTAGTTTTAACCATTAATCTTGTTTGCAAGTCAATAAACGTTGCATATATTGTTATATATGGGGAAACTGTATGACAAAGTGGAAAAAGTTTATTTGTGACGCGTTTCGTTCTCCAGAACTTCATCGGACTAAATTTGTTATGTTGGTAGGACTACACGTGCGCACGAACGAGGAATACCGGGGATTTTAGAACCAGGGTCACAAACTTACATCAATCCAACCAAATATGTTAGCTCTATCTCTGATATTGAGCGCTTTTTAATAAGTACCGCGCATATAATATATAAATAATTATACATATATATATATATTTATATTTATATATTTTTTATATATATATATATATATATATATATATATATATATATATATATATATATATATATATATATATATATATATATATATATAACTGAATTCCTTGCAATGTCATTTATGCCCTGGTTGTTAAAAGATTTCATAATTCCTGGCAGAACTTCTAATATCACAGTGTGGAATACTTACTTACGAAAGTGATGGAAAGAAAATAAAAAAAAACTCTAAATGAATTTGGTTAGATAAAAAAAAAAAATAAAGTTATAAATTCCCAGCAGCCTTCATTCTTGGGCATGAGCATCTGTAGGCCAAAAAGCGTCCCAAGTAAACTTATTCCACTTTGTCATACCATTTTCTCAATAGTGTTCTTAATATACAAAAAAAATTATATCGTTATCTCATTTATTGTTATTTAAGGAGTGAGTACTTTGGAGGAGGGGTTAATTGTGTGTATATGTTTGTTTGCGCGGTCACGCTTTTTAGAGCAAAGTTGGTTGCTTTCACAGGAGTATGAACAGCGGAACTTTGCTTGTCATGTTTTACGTGAATGGAATAAAGTGTTGTTGCCTTGTTTGGCAGACGATCAAATGATCACTGAGCTAAAAGGGCAGAAACGAAGAATGCATGACACTGAAACGAAAGGAAGGAAGGAAGGAAGGAAGGAAGGAAGGAAGGAAGGAAGGAAGGAAGGAAGGAAGGAAGGAAGGAAGGAAGGAAGGAAGGAAAAGAAAGAAGGCAGGAAGGAAAAGAATTGGAAAGAAACTACAAGAAAGAAACAGAGAAATACGATAGAAGTTTGAATAAAGAAAAAATTTAAAAAGGAAAAATAGCTTCGGAAGAGAAACGTTGAGAAAAGATCGTGAAAGAATACTTTTAAAAACAATGAAA